CACTTTGTTGTCTCATCCTACTCTAGAGTAGTAACATATCATGAAGGCTACATTTCTCATTAGTATGCTTGTTGTGGAGCAGTTTTAGAGAGGAGGACAGTAGTGAGAAAGGATCAGGACATGTTACAAGGGAAAGTTGATATCTAGGTGAGGGACTCTAACTTTAAAGGCTAACCATTCTTGTTTATGTTGTCATGCTATGTGTTTTTGTAACTGAGTGAATGTAGGAAGAAGAAACCTCTCCCTGATGGACGCAGGGATGAGTGAAATATGGAAAATGCTTTGAAGAGATCTGTGAAAACTGCAGCAATAAGAAGACACAGCTCCATGTCAGTGCAGCAGTGGAATCCCTAAACTCTGTTAGGCTTTTAATTTTGATAACTGAGTTTGCTGGAACCAGAGATTTGAATAATATCAGTGGCTTCTGGTTTAATACAGAAAGTACAAGAATACACTGATTTGTAATAGATACTGCTGCTGATAACATTGTGTGTGCCCTACTCCTCACTAAGGAGAAAAGGCAAGAAAAAGTGAAAAAGGCTTTTATGACCAGTTTTATAGGCAGACAATACAGGAAAGAGTCAATTTTAATAGGAAGTACAAGAAAGAAGGGAAACAAAACATCTGGAGCTTTTATTTCTGCAGTTCAGCATCTTGGTTCATATTGCAAATGTGAAGTATGAACAGAAAAGCTGATAAGAGGACAGTTGTAGACATAAGAGACACCACTTTATAAACACAGCTTCAGGCCACTCTAGTTCTCCCTTTAGCAAAAACTATAAAGTAAAGACATATGAAACCATAAAGAAACAGCAGTGTGATTTACTTACTTGCAGCATCGGGGTTAGAGTGCCTGAGACAATACTATCACACTAAATACACAGTTGTTAAAGAAGCAGTTGGACCTAGTTTACATTTCAGAACAATATACAATTAGAGCTCAGAATGCCAAAGAAGTTTGGAGGGAGAAATGAAAAACTGTGGAAGACAAGGCAAATCACTGTGAAATGGATACCAACACTGTGAGGTAAAAGATGCCAAAGAACGAGGCCACAAACAAGGGTTTCTTGGAATATCATTCAGATCATTGAGAGTAATGGAAATTATCCAGAAATTATCCCAAGCTGAGGCCCACAGTTGAGCCAGGAAGCAGAATATGCTTCAACCTCCATCTGACAAGTGGACCTGTAGCCACTGTGGGAAGACTTGCTGTTTGCACATCCAGCTCTTCTCCCACACCACTGCCAAGCACCCTTAACTGACTGATTTTGTCACATTTCCTTTCATCTGTCAAGATGTTGGATGGCCATAGGTTTTATTTTTAGAAAGTATGCCCATGATAAGACACTACCTTCGTACACAAGCACGGACCTATGTAGTTAAAACCTTAAAATTTATACTGATGCAGCATTCACTGTAGTTCCAAGACACCTGCATATGGTCTAAGAAGACCAATAAGATTTTGTGTGTGTCTAATAACATTACATTAGATGAGTTACATGAATAATACAAGAACTAACAACTCCACTAGCAAGGTTACCACTCTTTAATAACTATACCTTGGGGAGGAACAGGAATGAAACAATAGCCAAAACCAAACAATACTATATATTTTGGCAGGGTTCATAAAGCTATTAAGGGAGTGCAAAATGAAATGGGTGTTATCAAGAACAGGAAGAAGGTAGGGTAGATTTGCATCTTATAGAGAGATATGTAGCATAAGCTCTCATGAGCTCAAGCTCACTTCATCAGATGCTGTGGAAGGACATGAATAGAGCAGTGTATAAAATGGAGAGAGTGATTTGACTACAAAAGGCAAGAAGGGAGGGAGGGGAGAAAGGAAGAGAGGACAGTACTGAGAGAGGCAAACAAGCAAGCAATAAATCCATATTAACAAAGGGCACAGACCAAAGTTACATTTATCATGCATTCGGCTCCCTAAAAGCATTCTACAGCCATTCCATGACACACATGCACAGTTGCAGAGCACTTTAAAAGTGACCGATCACATGACAAATTAACTGTCATCAAATGAGGGATCAGATGATAGTGCTCCATTTTGGAACACCTTAGGGAGCTTCTGTTCCCTGGGGTCAATCTGTTGAGTGATCAGGGCTGGCCGGCCCCTCCCAGCCCCCCAGTAGTATCTGCAGGAAGGGAAGGGAGAGGGGAGCGAGAGTGAGCTTTGGACTGGGGTTCGCCTGGCCTCAGCTGGAGTAGGGCAGATGGATTGGAGGTCCCCTGCCTCACAGCCCCCCAGATCCTACCCTCCAGCTCAAGCCAGGCAAACCCCAGCCTGCAGCTCACTCCCCCTCCCTTCTCCCCACCTCCCTTTCTGCAGACAGTGCTGACATTGGGAGGGGGCAGAGCTAAGGGAGAGAGGCTGCAGGCAGCTCCTCAGGATTGATCACCTCCAAAGCTAGATTCCTCCCCTGACCCAATAAGCAAACATCTCTTGGGCCGGGGAGGGAGGGGGAAGCACTCTAACTCGTGGTGCTTTATGTAAAGTGCCGTGAGTTAGAGTGGAGGCCTGTACATCTGTCAGCACTCAAAAAAATCACAAAACTTAATCCAGGTAAATGTCATCAACCTATCCAACCACACACTCATGCCAGCTGAGGTGTCTGTACTATCTTCTGGTCCTTCTTTCTGCCCTACTACATAACTGAATCAGGTGCAGCTGTATGGAGACCTCAAATCTTTTTTCTGCCCCCCTATGATTGATTAAATATTTCCATACAAGAAGCCATACAATGATAAACCCAACACAGACTGAACACATACACAGAGCAAGAAGAAAGACAGCTCCTGGACTCCATCTGAAGGCTGCAGCCCTGCTTTGGATCTGTATATAAATTGCTTCTGCCTCCTTGCCTCCTCTGAGGCTGCATCTACATGAGATACTGCCTGCACAGTTGTTACTGTGCAGTCATTTAGTACTTGTCATTTAGTTCACAAGTACTAAATGACTGCACAGTACATCCTCGGATGGCTTTTTGGTGACGCTAACTGTGCAGTAGCTCATTACTACTGTGCAAGCATCATGTCATGCTTTGTGCCATGCGACGCTACTATGCAGTAGTAATGAGCTATTGCACAGTAGTAACAAACTACTGTGCAGTCAGCATTTCATGTAGACGCGGCCTGAGGATGCCAAAAAACAACACCACATATGGTTACAACCTCAGTCCTGCAGAACAAATATTCATACTCAGCCATAAAAACAACCTGGATATTATTATGCAACAGGCTGATAAGGGGATCTATAGAAAATAGATTTTTCTATTTATCATGTACAAAACAGCATACATACAGGAAGTCAAGAGACAACTTTACAACAGAGAGTTTTACAAACTTCTGGCTGAGGACCCCACAGAGCAATGCTAGGATGAACTAGATAGACTATTAAAGGATCTACCTTAGCAAACACAGGATAGGATTACTGCTTCTACCTCCTGGGAGCCAAGGCCTGACAACTTTTACTTATTATCCAAGATCCACAGACCTGGCAACCCAGGATTCCCCACCATTTCTGGTGTTAGCACCATGACAAAGGGAGTTTCTGGGTATGTTGAGACTGTTGTGTGCCACTGGAGCTGCTAGCTACTTGAAAGACACCACATATTTCTTAAAGAAATTGAACACCAGAATGGATTAACGCCAATCTGACAGAAGGTCCAAAAAGAAACAAAGGTCTGTGGCAGGATACTTTAACCAACTTGGATTGATCTCAGAGTAGCTGTTCTTAGGCAGAAAAACTTTAAAAAAAAACCAATTTGAACAGTAAATTGAGGAACAAGAAATCATCCACAGTGGATTGGGTGAAGTATGATTAAACAGAGACTATGTTTTCTTATCCCATTACCTGGATTCATTTTTGTGACCCTTTTTTTCCTAAGGACTTATTGCTTGCTTGCCTCTCCCAGGTTTGCCCTGCTTCCCCTTTCCTTTCCCTCCCTTCCTGCCTTTTGCATTCAAATTACTACCTCCATTTTATACACTGTTCTATGCATGTCCTTGCACAGCACCTTTTTGACCTCATGAAAGTTTACGCTATGTATATCTCGGATTGAGTTAGTCTATAAGGTGCAAATCTTATAGACTTCTGCCTGACTTCAAACTAACACAGATAACTGTTTCATTATCAAAAACTCCCTTTTGATAATGGAGCCATCCTCACATTCTCAGTGATCACTTGAGAAAATAAAGAGAATATAAATTAAGTAAAAAAGAAAATAAGATTTAAAAAGAGTAGAAGATACAGAGTCTATTTCTTCAGATAAAAGAACTTATAGGTTGGTATACAAGACAACTCTGGTACCAAAGCTCCGTAGAAAAATTATTATGTATGTGTACCTTACACAATTTAATAAAATATGTGCAAAAAAATGTATGTTTTTTGTGGATAACTAGACATTGGCCCAATTATAAGAAATCAAAGTATTGTCAGAGTTAGCTGCTACAGCAAGATTTTGGCAAATCTTCCTGACTAAAGAATCTGCCTCATTAACTTTGTTCATCAACTCATTTGGAAGTTACTTTTCACTCAGCTTCCATTCAAAATATCCTTAGCAGCAGAACATTATCAAAATATAATGTTTCTCATTGTGACCTGGCTGCCTTCTCTCTTTTACCATACAGATACTATATTAACAGCAGCAATAAAAATAAACACGAATGACCTTATTTTACATGCTTTCAATAAACTGGCCTCACTCTGAATGGGAAACATGAATCTGGATAGAAGATGAAATTGATAGGACACATAATTAGCAGATGGGGAATTCAGCTTGGCTCAGTCTCTGAGATGTTTCTTCTGTAAGAAGGCTCTTGACAGAACATTTTAGCTCATCTAACAAAACTCTTAAGAGAGCTCCTTAATGGCCAAAACCTTTGAATTGAGGGAAGCCCACAAAAAAAAAAAAAAAAAAAAAAAAGATCTAATGGCATCTCCACATGCTTTGGCACAATTCCCAGTAAACTATCTAGCAACGTTAGCCATGGCTGCATCTTCGTATGTTCTAGGACCTGGTTCACATAAAAAAGCCAGAAGGAGACCTGTGACCTGTTGCATTAGCATCAAGAAGCCTCACAGACACCATCAGCCACACATACAAATGGAAAAGGAAATTGCAGTGGTCAGTTGGGCTTTGGAAAGGCTCACTGCATGTTTATGGAGCCTGGATTTTAACTAGAAACAGACCACAAGTCCATAAAGGCACTGTTGGGTTAAAAACCACAGGCTGATCTTCCATGCAGGATTCAATGGATTCTCACTACAACTGATGAGACTTACCTCCATTACTGAACACCTACCGAGGAGAGCACGTATGGCAGTAGTATCCACAACCTTGATGAAGCAGTTATCAAAGGGAGAAAAAAAAGTTGCTTTAGAAAAAGATGTTAAAGCTTACTATGAACTTACCTTGGCAGCAAGCCCAAAATCTGCCAGTCGACTTAGCAGATAAGTACTGAAAAACTGTCGGCTGAGACTTGCTAGAAAAATTGTCACCTCTGCCACAGGATTTCCAATAGAGCTACTATGATACTGGCAGGGCTGAAATGATGTTCACATGACCAGTGATCTGCTTCTCAAAATTTGATTCATTTTGGTTCCTACAGGCCTTCTATAAAAGATGCTCTCCAAAATTCATGCGGGAGTATGTGAAGATAATAATCTGCTGGGTGCTCTAGCCCAAGCAAGCCAATTCAGACTGTAGAAACCTGGCAGGAAAGCAATGTTAACTTCTCCCCCCCCAAATAAATACATAAATAAATAAAAATAAACAGTCATCAGAATCATTCATCTCTACAAAACTACCTGAAAGACCTTGGCAGCAGAAGGCAACAGCTCTGTTTTTCTGGAAAGGGCACACACATACATACCCACATGTTCACATTACTGTGCATTTGAATACATTCAGTTGCTTCTCTGGATAATGACTTGCCTCTACTTCACTCCTCCTCAGTACGTGCTGATAAGAAACTTAAGTCATATTAGTAAGAAAGAGTTTGCAACACTTTCTTACTCAATAATACACCACAATGTATTCCTGAAACATTCCTAGTGTTAGCAATGGAAAAGAGGAGAACAGTGCAGGGTTTTAAAAAGACTTCTGCAAAATATTAGCGCGCTCATCTATAATACTATTGGAATATGTCCAGCAAAACTTCAAATGGAAAGAAGGTTAAGGACACCTCTATCCCATTCTGATTTATCTTAAAGCTACTTGCTGAAATAAATGCCAAATAAAATTTGGCAAAAGTAAAATTTCAGTTTTCAGCAAAGAACAAAACTACTACCCAAGCTGAGACCAGAGTACAGCTGAAAAGCTCCCAAACATTTGAAACCATTTGGAATTTGTCAGAAACTCCTAGACCTATCTCGTAGAGTTTAAAAAAAGATGTCTACAGAGGAATGAGGTCCATATTCAACATTTCTCAGCACAATGAGGAGAGGGTCAGGGCTGTCAGGAGATGAATTCCCTCTGAACGGAATGGAGAGATATAGCTAGCAATGTGTTAACTTATGCTTTTCCGAACAAGTTAGTCTCTAAATGCCACCCTGCTCTGCTTTCTGCCTTCTAAGAGACTGAAATTCAAATGAAAGTGAATTTCACATGAGAATTCAACAGAAATAAGAACATAGGCCAGAGCTGTCCAACTGGCAGCCCGAGGATGCATGCAGATTATGAGAGGTTAACTTGGGGCCCCCAGGCTCCCATTGCTCTACCGCTGCTGGAATTTCTGGATTCCCTCTCCCTCCTCCAGCTCCTGCTTTCTTCCCTACTATAGAGGCAGGGCAGGGCAGCATTTGATAACATATTTAAATGCCTGATGGTAGTTGTAAAGGGGATGGTGATAAACCATTTTCTGTGTCTGCAAGGGACAGGACAAGAAGTAATGCTCTTAAACTGCAACAAGAGAAACTTAGGTTCTGTCCTAGAAAGAACTTTCCCAATATGAGGCTGGTTGAGTATTGGAACAGATTACCTAGAGGTGCTCTGTCTGGGGCCTCCATCTTTGGACAGTTTTAGGAGCAGGTTAGGCAAACACTTGAACAATATTATTTAAACAGTGATGATTTTGCCTTGAGCAAGGAGTTGAACTATGTGACCAACGGAGCCTTATTTTTCTATGATTCTATGAATAGCTGGTCTGAAGGCATACAGCAAAAAAGAAAGTATTCTACAATATATAGTTTATATTAAAAATGAAGGGAAAGGTACAGAAATGTTTAGAGTCAGTTTGTTTCAAGCCCCCTTCAACAAACATTTTATCTCATAGCAGGGCCTTTATGCAAGGTGATCTCAAAAATCCTGTCCAAGTATTCTACTTTCAACATAAATAATAATATTGTTACTATGATCGATTTTCATTCTGTAATTTTAGTATGTTTGTATAGGACCTTTCTGACCAATGCAGATAAGGCAATAGGTTTCATTTAATTTCTCCTTTACAGGCTGTTTTGCTGAATCTGTTGATATGCACGATAGTTTTCTACACTGTGTATTATGTGGTCCTTAGCATTTGTTTTACAGCATTCAGGTAAGATTTTCTTTATTAATATGACTGAACATAAACGGTATTTCAAATGGTATACTGTCTGATGGAAAGGAGGAGAAGTCGTCCAAAATAGGATTGCTATTTACATTAGAGTACCTGTCCCTCCCTTGAAACAAACAAATTAGCCCTTCGATTCAGAAATTTGTATTCTCTGCTAGTTTTGCTTATGCTTTATAATTCTTGATGAAATCAGTTCATACGCACAAAAATACCAACTGAGTAAAAGGGAAAAGAAACCAGCTTTAAAAAGAAGGTTTTAAATGAGGCAGAAAGATAAGCTGATTGCTTCAGAAAGACATTTAGGTGTGTAGAGTCAAGAAATCCTCACTTTTATTTGTAAGTGGCAATCACTGGTACAGACACAGCTATGACACATAATGAAGTTAAGGAAACTTGTAAACTCCTCTTCTCAGGATATGGAATTTAGAATCTTGCTTAAATAACTCTTGTGTAAGCTACAGTACGCAATGTAATTAAAACATTAATTTGTGGTCACATCTATAAAGTTTTATGAGTTACCTTTGTTAAACATTTTCTTTCAACTCTCACAGGTTGAAAATGTTGGATGAATGGGCACCTTTTGATTTTAAGACAAATCCCTCGTGGATTAACCCAAATTACTTAGGTAACTTGTTTTGCTTCTCAGTTTTTATGGAACCAAGAAAATAGGCTGGTTGTGGACATACTTGTCATCCCTGTGAATACATACATAAAAAAATTCAAGACATTTTAATACTGCCACCTGGGTTTAAATAAGCTCATTGACTTTTTGATCAGCTAGCATTTAACTGTTTGCTCATCTCCTTTGAACTCTTCAAGAGGATGTCATTTTATAAATCAATACAATAATTACTTATCACCTCAGTAATGCATAGCTATTCCCAAGCTCTCTTTTCAATGTCACATCTCTCCACTGGACTACTCCACCATGAACAGCAAACATTCATCTTTATTACTTCATCTTCATTATAAATCAATTATTTTTTCTCTGTAATATTGTTGAGTCTAATCTCCCTACTGCAGCAAACTTTCCTATGATTCACATCAGATTCATATTTTAATATGGCCTTATGAATAACCCAGAGTCATAACAAAGAGTTGGGTGTCTAGGGCAGTGGCAAATTCTGGTGGCTGTTATTCCACTGGTACATTTGTGTAACTGTGGTGACAGCTGATATTTGTCATCCCTCCCCCACCTTTAGTCAGTGCCTAGCATGATTGCCCTGGTCCCCCATCATAGTTACCTTATTGGAATAATAGCCCAAATCCTGAACTCTTTACTCAGTTTGTACTCATGCACACCTTTTATTGACTTCACTGGCACTTTTATCTGGGCAATAAGTGAATGCAGAGCTGTGACTTTAGGTTTGGGTCCATTGCCAGTTCAATGCACTACTGAAAAAGGGTATGGTTTGCACTAGTTCAAATCCCTTTACATATCTGTACAAAACCATAAAAATGTGACCCTTTCCAAAACTATTACTATCTTCCTGTAGGGAA